CTGACTGACCGGCAGCCGGTGCAAGCGCACGCTGGTAAAAAGCCCATTATGACACATAACGTGTATTTTGTCCCATCGGCCCATTTTTCATGTAATATTCTCGCCTTTTCAAGTGACAGTGATGGAATAAATGTTTACTTTTCTCTGATCATTCTTTGATGCGTTACGTACATGACCGAACCTGCACGATCCTGCCGAAATAGTCATGTCTCACACTGATGAGAATAAGTTTTATTTATTTATATCGACAAACTGAAAGCCCATTTTGCATTGTCTGGTTAAGACAAGTTGCACAACGGTGCAGGTATCTTCCAGATCGGTGGCCTTAAGCCTTGGATATGCAGCAATCGACCGTTAGTAACCGTCGACACAGTGGACTGCGATACTTTCCGATGGTCGGTGTAAGCATCGGTGAACCGGTCCCACAACTGGTGCGAGAATGCGGTGAAATCGTTCAGTGGGAAGGGAGGCAAACGCAAGAGAATCAGATCCACCCAACATCATGGGGAAAACGACCCCCTCCGAGACTCAAGGTGACCACATTAGCGAATTAGGAGACTATTGTTGTTTTGAATCCTAGTCGGAAAGGACGAACCCATCTTCCCTGATTTCGAATCGGTACGGCCCAAGTGACCTAGCTCCCAAACGTGGTACATGCGAACTGAGGCTGGATGCGAAACACCTAACGCCACACGACTTCATCGGGACCCAGAAGAGCAAGACTGAGAACAAGAATTCGTTTACTGCTTCCGACAAAGGCAAGCCATGTCTTTCACACCCCATATTCCTAGCTCAGTAGTGTAGCGGCGTACTAAATAAACTGTAAGAGAGAGAGAGAGTGAATGTTGCCAAGGCACATGAGTTGCTTCCTAGTGATAGTAACCAGAGGAAACCTCAGTCGGGGTCAGTGCGACTTGCGGAGGTTGCTACCGCAGTGTCCTGAAGAGCATACAGTTGGTGCACTGCGTTGTGATGCGGTGGATACAGCAATCTCCTGAGGAAGGCGCGGTTGTTACCTCCACAGTCTGAGTCGCAGCGTGGTGTGGTGAGCTTGAGAGAAGTCTGCGCAAAGTTCACGCAGCTATGCGTGCTTCGCAACACCTATGTGCTCAACCAATCTCCACCGAGGAAGCTACCAATGGACTGCATACTCTATGTGTTTGAGGCCAAAAGTGGATTGCAATCACACGAGACTTGATCATACTCTATTCAAGAGAAAACCTCCCAAAACATTTGGTCCCCCAGCTTTCACCGGTTCATATTGCCTTCGCCCCGCTCAGACACTCCTTGTCAAACGATTTTGACTTTCAAGAAGCTATCCAACATGTACATTAATGAGCAGAGCCTGCTTCGCAAACTTTCCGAACTGCTACTCCGTCGTCAACGATTGAGCGGCAACGACATTTGCTTGCTGGCTGTCATTTACCTCCTTCCATCTTTCACACCACAGATGAAGTTCAGTTTGACATTCTAACTAACGCGCATGATAAACAAGAAGTATAGTCCTATTCTTATCACTAGTGATTTCAACATCTACGTTCTAGAATCCAAGGCCGCCCCTATATAACAGCTCAAAGTAGACATATAAGTGCTTGTCCACAGTTTTCCGCTTTATGGCCACATCGACACTCCCGCCAGATGCAGCTTCATACAGTCCATTCATACTTGACCGAATATTTACCAACGAAGAACTCATGATCGAGATTGTGACCATCCAATCACGTAGACCGCAGTGATCAGGTGACCTTGCTGTTCAGGTATACCTGTTGTGCTGTATAATCCAGAGCAGATACCCAAGTGACGCGGAAGATAACGCGCCACGACAACTTGGCTGGACTGGCTGAAACGATTGACTGGCATTTTTTACCTGGGGATTACCGGATTTTTCCCAGGAAAGATCCGTCAGCAAGATTAAAACTATGGTCGTTGATGCATTGGAAACCAAGGCCATCCTTTCCAGAAACACGAACACGAAAATACGTAATGGTACGAAACGCAGCAAGGCATGATCGCAAAACTAACCTGGAAGAATTATATCGTCCACTGTAACCCTTGTATTCAACTTGTGCGCAAGGATAAAATACCACTCAGGCAACACAAACTATTTCAAATCACAAATGACTGTACGAACATGTGAATGTTCTTCGCTAGTGAAAAAGGATTTCCTCCACTTATAACAGCCGATGGACCAACACGGACCACTAAAGAATCAGCAAGCACCCTGCAGCAGCAGTACGCGTAAACTTTTCCATTGATTTCGTTGTATGTTAACCCATTGAAACATGTTGTGACATCACAAAAGCTTTCTCATGTCCACTTTGCGGCAGACAATGTTACGAGTAATCTGTTATTTATGCGTCCACCCAGCTCCCCGGAATTGCTGGTAATCACCCGAAGGCGCTTGCCGTTGCAACTAAGAAAGTATCTAAACATTTGGCGCGATGCTTCCAGCAATGTATTGACGGGATGCATGTTTCCATAACAGGGAAACATGGAACAATAACTCCAATTTATAAGGGATACAGTCGTTCCGACCCGTTCTTTCAAAAGTCATGGTAGCTATCATTGATGACGCGGGCATTTCTTGCCTGGACGGACTTGGCCACTTGGAGCAAGTGCACCACGACTGTAGCCCGAATTGATCTTGCACTACCAATGTACTGTTAGCATGGTACAGCTGGATTGCAACAATGGATGATGGTGGAGGCATTGGTGTTGTCTACCTCGGTTCCTCTAAGTCATTCTACCGGTTGAACCGTTGTATCCTTCTAGCGAGGCTTCATGTATGCGGCGTTGCTGATCCCTTTATAAGGTGAAGCCGCAACTTCCTCTTGCCCAGACGTCTAGAAGTGAATGTTCTCGAATCCGTATCATCCTATCCAAATGGAATGCGGTATGCCACAAGTTTCGCTATTGGAGCAGCATCTGTTGCTGATTTTCCTTATCGATCTGGTGAGCAGCTCAATCACTTCAAACTGTTTGCTTTATGCCGACGACATTAAAGTTTAACGGCCGATCTAAGCTCAAAAAGACCGCTTACAGCTTCAAAACTACCTCGATAAGATTCATGAATGGTCAGTCCATAATCGTCTTCAGTTCAACGTAGCTAATTATCGAGTAGTTACTCTGCGAAACCAAATGGTTTTCGCCTCTAAACTGAGTGACCAATATTTCCAGCATTGGGCTGATGAGCAAAATCTCGGTGCGTCGGTTCAGGAAGTCTTCGGTTTCTCGGAGTACTTTACACTAGCCTCAAAAACTGGCATCCACAACTTGGAGCTCTTAAAGAGAGCTTACGGTCGCCTCGACCCATCTATTTTGCCCCACCTGTTTTCTGCATATATGTGGTACTCCCCATTCTACTTGGATGGGATTTGCAAGGGATGCACGCACTAGTCTACAAGCACAGATGGAGCAAAAGCTTGTGATCCACCCTAGGAGGGTGTCTCTAATGCCAAAGCTCTGAAGTTTGAACAGCAGGATGCTACGGTCTATTTGGTTAAATTTCTTTGAGAAGTCGAGGAGAACTGCATAAATAGCTGTGCCAGTGTCTACTGCTTCGGTGCAGCTGGATAGGGTTAGAAGTAGGTTTGCTCGGCAAGTTCGCTGTTTTCGGTTATTCGCAGTTTCTAGTGTTTATCTTTTGAAAACCCTCAGCGATTATCCCGCGGCACATGTTTGGTTTCTGCTTTTTATCATTGACAATTGACCTAGGACATACGGTGACTCAACTTCGACCGTAGCTAGCAGACAGGTGAAGTCAAATTCCCTAGTAAAGATTTTAATATGCTCCTTTCACTCCGTTTATCTTGCTTCCAATAACACAAATTTCATGGAAACGTGTCTTCACTTTTCCCACTATGGTTTTCTGGCAGTAACTACTCAACTGTAAGCGCTGTCTGTGTCAAATTATTGAGTGTGTTGGCGTGGGGCACAGTGCTCAAAAACATAAACAGTTGCTTGGTCGCACTAATACCTTGCGGTTAAGCAACTAAAGACGTGGGCGCACAGTAAAATGTGAACGTGCCACTTTTAGTGGCATGCATCAGGTTGTTTGGTTACGGTTGAGACCGAATATTTCGAATACTCAGGCAACGAGTTAGTTTGCTTTCCATTTGATGTGCTTCGCTGAAAGAGGCCGTATTCGCACGGCATACTCTTACCTCCCATATTCGGCTGATTGTAAATCCACTATAAAGACCGTGACACTGAATGGAAAATATAATGCCTTTGTGATCCTACTACACCTGACAGTGGCGGGGATTGGTTATTCGAACACGAGAATATATCTTCAGGCTCAAGTTACTTGGGTTCTACATAATACTGTACGCAGTAAACTGACTAGTGTGTCCAACCGCTGGCCATATTATCTCTCTGACGCAGCGATACAGTGTGCTGTATCTAATGTGGGTGAACAATATTGAGTATGAAACGAGCTTTGAGTGCGCCAGGTTATATCTTTGGTACCTTATCTGCTATGGCTGCGTTGAAAAGGAGCCATTCGAAGTGTCAAATATACACAACTTCATCACACAGTTCGACACAATCTCGATAGGCATATATGAACGGGGAAACGCCTGTGGCACAATCGTCATGACATACGCGAGTTGGTGAGACTGCTGAGTCACCCGTGGGGCAGGTGTGCACCAGCTCAGCGAACGGCAACGTGCGCAGCGGCTGTCTGGTGGCTGGAACTGGAGCGTTTCCATAACCTGTGTTGTGTGAACTGGGGATCGGGGCTCCGGTAATTTCATCCTGCGGGAGGTAACTGGGCCAGTGGTGTTCAGGGTCGTTGCATTCACTCCGTTAAACACACACGCACACACAGGCACAACTGGACGCTTCTGGTTCTCTTAGGTGCGTCCACAGCACAAAGACCTTGTGGCAGGAGGCCAGTCACTCGGCCAAGACGGTGACGTATTCATCCCTTAGTGTGTGTGTTGGTTTGAATGCATGTTGAGACAATTCCACCTTATTATCTTTTATTTTCTACTCTGCAGGCGCAGCTGTGTTTCCCGCAACAGATATATCAGAAATTCCGTGTCGTGTGTGCGGAGCGAAGTCGTCAGGCTTCCATTTTGGAGCGATCACTTGCGAAGGTTGCAAGGTTAGCTATGGTCTTTCGGTTTGTTTAGGAACCTTTCGGCGTCTTCTGTGAAAGAAAAGTGGTGATACTGGCATTTTATGCATAATTGTTTGATCCACTTTCTATTCCGTTTTTCACAACAAGGGTGCAATGTATGGTTACACTTGTTTTTTTGATGGTAAAACAGAACAGAAGCTATTATGAAATAGCCTCAACTAATTACATCAAAGATAATCTGCTCACGAATATATGAAAACAGGTGCATGTTTAACATGGTACACTATCACTGCGGATGGTGATGTATATGAAATCACTGTTACAGAAAAATTAAAACGACTAAAAATGCCAACATTTATCACTCGAGCAAATATTTTCGCATCATACTGATAGTTTCGATTGGGTCGACAAGCAAGCGGGACAAGTACGGTAGCATGGAACGGTGGTAAGGTGTATTTCATGACAAGAAAATCATAAATTTGGAGCGGAAAGAGGAAACAGACAATGTTTTTGATAAGTCACAATGTAGTGGATGAATAGGGTCGTTTAGGATTTTAGAGGAAAAACGGGTACACGCGTTTAGATGCTTGTTGACAATAAAATCCACAAGGGACTCTCTAGACAATCCGCTGCATCTAGAAATAGACACTATGTCTTACACAGTTGTTACTAGTGGGAACCATGACTCTCAGAACCAATCTTGTTCTCTTCAACATTCGCGACTTGCATGGTAACGATGGATAGATCCGGCAATATTGAACTTATCTTGCAAGCCATATCGTTCCACCACCGTTCTCCATAGCCTAGTGGCATAAGCTGATGGCTATTGACATAAGCCACTAATAGATAGTTAGGATCCTTATAGAACCGAGGCATGCGCACTACTGCATTATTCCGATAGGGCGAAACGGTCGAATAGTACATGTCCGGCAGTGTAGGGACTAGCTGACTTGGAAGGTACTGTGGAACCCTCTCAACCAATAATAGTACAACGGGTTACTTACTTACTGCTAGTGGAAACTCTCGGTTAATCTACAGTGTTGGCAGTACAACCGGGTGTGTATCACCACTAAACGAGGTTAACATTTAGCACCTCTTTCCACCATTGATAAAGTAGAAATGCCGAACAGAATTTCGTTAGCAGACATCATCACGTAGTTAGTTTTGTGGCCAGGACACATGTTCGGTGCGAGGTAATTTTTACTGCTGGTATCGATGATGGATCGATGGAAAAACTTTTAACGCGTAGTTACACGGATGGACTTAACAAAATGGTGGCCATTTCTATCTCAGAATTAGCTTGCACCTAATCGGGAATTCATAATTTCGGAACGTTCCGTATATTATTCGGTTTAATATGGGGTTGGGGTGTGACCATCCAAAACTTTTGGCACAAATGTTTCTTCAGATTAGGTAGTCAATTTTAGTGGAAGAGCTAATTGGGATCTTTTCCAGTTAGGTCCCGCCAAAAAGTTAAGCCCCGCCACCCAAAAAAGATTATGAAAAGGGAGGATATGGAACTTGAACTTTTACTCTCTATTGAAGAGGGTGAAATTGAGACAAGTCATTAATAATTTGCATGAAAAGGTTCATTTTTCGGTGTCTTTGCCTCCAAACGAACTCACACAGGTAGCTGTCCACTAAAGATTGGTGTGTGCCGCATTGGCGCTTATTCTGCATCTTGTAAATGTGCCAGAGAGATTCGATGGTTTGTGTGTGAGCTCCAGTCGTTGGATCCACAAAGTTTTCGGTATGATTAACCGTTTGATGAGTATAACTCATGCCAATCATCGATTCAATGCCTTGATATGATGCCCACATATCGGAAATGATAATTGAGCCGGGAGCGACGCAGGCCTGGATTGTGTCCAGCAGAGTGGCCGCAGTTCGATCTGGCACTGTATACAAGAACACTTCTTTAGTCTCCCGGCAAATCCCTCCGAAAATCCACTGCTGGGGAAGGACTCGCCCTGCATGGTTTTTACGACGTGATATTAGGGTTTCATCGATCTCGACATGTAGACCTGGTTCGACGACAATCGTTGGAGTCTGCAAAAGCTGCCAGGCGCAAATTTCACGCAGAAAGTTCTTCCAGTCGACAGCGGTCGCGTGGCCAATAGATAACTCCTTTGAGCAGAATTTGATTGTTGTCAGATTTTTTGACCAGCAATAAATGAATACGATTATTGTCCTGAAATCCATCCTAGACCGCTCCAGCCAAGTTCCCTTTCGAAGACCGATTTCTTGCCGACACTGTCGGGCATCACACCTCCACCTGTCAGAAACAGTTGAAAGTGTCATTTGGTGTCCTCGTCTGCATAAACGTTGATGATGAATCACTCCATGGCTTTGCAAAAAACGTATTGCTGTTTCCTTGTCATGAACGACCACCGAAAGCGTCAGAAAGTTCATGTCAGGTTTTACGTGCGAACGTAGAAACTTTTTGGACAAAAATGACCTTAGAAGCGGATAAGGAGTGTTTTTATGGGGCACGTTCACATGCATTACGTACACTGGAGCTGGCAAACAGTGGCGGGGCTCAACTTTTCACGCGTGCCCTTTTTGCACTATTGATGGGGCTTGACTTTTCAGGTGTACCCTTTTTGCCTTAGTGGCGGGGCTTAACTGGAAAAGATCCGCTAATTGTTAGCTACAGCAACTACTGAAGGCCTGACATATGTTAGCAATTACTGTCACTCACAAAGCATTAAGCTGTTATCCATAATCCCCACTAATATATAACAATTTTAAAAGAGACGTGTTTCTCAAGGCTACAACATGATCAACTCCGAAGAGGTCCTGAACTTTGGGTACCGCGAAGGCTAACAGCACAAGCTTAAGGTGGCCATCGTGTCCCGGGCTTTGATTATGGAGGGGAGAACCATTAGTTCAACAGCATCATCGGCTGTTGGGCAGTTCGGAGTCGGACATTCCTAATACCGTCGGTAGTACGCCATGGTTGGTTGATAAGGTGGAGTTGAATACTTGCACATTAAGCAGAGATGCCAGTGTCCAACCATCGCAGACAATATGAGATTAGAGAACAACCCTGTGGCCACAATACAGCCACAAATAAACTACCTTCTTCGTTTCCTAAGGATAACACAGGTTGAAAAATGCACCAATATCATTAATGTATCGACCATTCGATCCTATTATGCACGAGGAGAATTTAAACGGAACACTCTGAATGCACCTAATTTCATGTATTGTGAATTGACCGAATACATAATTTTAGTGCCACAACGGAATAAAGTAGGATGACAGCGAATCAATACTAGAGATGAATACGAAACTTAGACTGCCGAGGTTGTCGCCTCTGAGGATATTTCACGTGCTCCCCATTGTTAGGTTGAGGTTAACCGCGGAACTGCGTAGCTAAAACATGCTAAACTTCGGAGTGGTTTGTGAACAATTGGTTAGAGCGTTTGTTGGGAAACATTTTACTTTCGACATAAGTGCTTTGTCAGGTCAAGTGAATCAGTATGCAATTGAAGCGGCCTTTTCTAGTGAGTTCGGTACTAGGCTTCAGTCACCATATTGTGTAGGCCTCAGCACCCGCATTATTACGAACAGGCAACTCTTAACGAGCGTTTCAAAATGGCCACATTGAGTTAGTAACCGTTGCGAAAGCATTGTCCCCAATGACTTTGTGATTTAAGGGTAGAGGTTTCGACCAGCATCGCGAAGTTACCGGGTTCGAGTCTACTGAGTCAGCACCGCGCGACTGTTTCCACACACTAATGGTAGTGAGAACACGAACGACCGGGGACAAGGCTTCAAGCGTTTTTCTACCTAGAGAAACCACTTCGTTGTATAGCAAGACGCACAAGTGCAAAAGCCAACCAGAGTACGGAAAGTATGCGGACAAGCAAAGGCTTTCAGTTGCAGAGGTTCTGAAACATTTCGACCAGTTTGACGGACAATGTGTCAAGTTGTGCCCGGATAGATAGAAAAATGTTCTAGATAGCATGCACTATTTCTGGTTGTAGCGGTACCGGAACATACTTGCATTTCACTGTAGGGTATTTTCCCTTCCATGAAGTCTGTGCGAAATACTGCAGAACTCGTCTACCTAGCTGTACCACGAAACCTGTTTCTTTCGAAGTTGGGGCTTGCTTGCAACCTTGAAGTAGGCACGCATCTGACCATGATGATCTCTCGCAGACTGCCCCACATCATCTTTCCAAGACGCAGTCGGTGGCTTCCGGTCTGGCACCTTTCGATTCACGTTTTGGCGATGAATACCTGTGTAACAGGACTGGGTTTCTCTTCTGGGATCTTAACTTCCCACTGTTTTCCGGTCATGGTTCAAAATGAACAGCCTGTGACACTCGGATGCAATGTCCCGTGATGTCAGGCTCGACTACTGTTCCATTGCACTTGAATGCTCAGTTTTTGTGGCAGCAATTCAAATAACTGCAGCTGAGAGTTTTTAGAGTGAAACTGATTCCGTTGAAGGTGGGTCTGGAGGTTCTCGAAAGAAATAACCATAATTGTTTAATATATCCGTCGTCACAAATGTTGTGTCGGCACCCCGCCACCGTTTCAACCCACTAATGGTAGTGAGAACACGAACGATCGGGGACAAAACTTCAAGGGTTTTTCTACTTAGGGAAACCACTTCGTTATATGGCATGAGACACAGGCGTGAAAGCCAGCCAGAGTACGGAAAGCTTGAGCACAAGTAAAGCCAATACAGAAAGAACAAAGCAGCAACCAATCGGTCGTACACCAAGAACGGAGCAGGACTGCGACCTGACGGCAGAAATAACAACTCCAAATAGCTAATAGGAATGGCGAAATGATACGTTAAAACAAACAGTAATGAACCGCCAGAGCAAAATGAAAGTCTGAAGTCATGAGCTGTTACTACTCTAACCTAGTCGCAACCCTGCTTTCTCTGCATTATCAAAGTAAATAAATACGAAATCAGTGGTGTCTCGAGTGCAGATGGTGCCCGTTGCTTAGCTGTTTCAGACACGGTCCCAGTGACCGAAGTAATTGAAGTTCAGTCCAATGTG